ATGAACTGTTAGCAGATACAGCATGGAGATGCTAGACAAAGGGATGACTCAGGTCCTGGGCGGGACAGAGAAGGACTATGAGATTACACCTTGCTACTCAGAACGGTGTACAATTTAAAACTTATTAATTGTTCATTTCTGCAATTTTCCATTTAATATTTTTGGAGTATGGTTGACTGCGGGTAACTGAATCCATGGGAAGCAGATAAGGGGGGGACTACTGTAATTGTTTTATTTTATTATTAGTTATTGTTGTTAGTCTCTTACTATGCCTAATTTATAGATTAAACTTTGTTTGAGGAAAAAACGTAGTATTGTTTTTTCCGCACTGGGGATCTTGGAACATATTCCCTGCAGATAAAGGGGGATTACTGTATTTCCAGATTTTCTTTATGTAAATGCAAGCAAACGTCTATATATTTATCCACTCACACATTAATATTTACACAAATAATAGAAAGTTATATTTGCCATGTTTTGCTCTGTTTTTTCTACATAATGTATCTTGGAAATCCTGGGTTTTTTTAGCGGCTGGCCAGTATGGAGATCCAAACCCTTGACCTTGGTGGTGTTATAACACTGCTCTCTAACTGAGTTAACTGGCCAGCCCAAGCTTTTTTTATATTGGCTCATAGAGAGTGTCCTTTTTTTGGTAGTTGCATAGGATTTCTTTTCTTTCTTTCTTTTTTTTTTTTTTGATGCTACCATAAATGGTATTTTTTTACTTTAATTTTAATTTATTTCTAGTATATAGAAATACAGTTAATTTTAGTATATTTGTCATATATCCTACAGTCTTGTTAAACTCACTTATTAGTTCTAGTTTTTGTGTATTCCACCAGACCTTCCTCATAGACAATCATGTTGTCTGTGGATAAAGACGATTTACTTCTTTTCCCATCTAGATGTCTTTTATTTCTATTCCTTGCCTTATTAACACTGGCTCTTGTGTGGCCTCCTATATGATGTTGAATAGAAATGGTAAGAGTTGACATCCTTGTCTTGGTCTAGTGTTAGTAGGAAAGCATTCAGTCTTTGACTAATAAGTTTCTTGCTATGATAAAATTAGCATTTTTTTTCTTTCTTCTTACTCACTCTCTATCCCTGGATTTTCGTCAATGTTGTCTTGGTATTTAGTTTTAGATTTTTAAATATACTTCTAGTTCCAGTTTTAATTATGAACTTTAGATTATATCTTCTGACTACCAACGTACAGATGAGGCCAGTGAATCTTTTCTATCTCCCACCTTCTTTTCTCCTCCTCCAAATTGGTCTTAATATAAATCTTTTACTCATTGTCAAAGGGTGTCTGTTCTGTCACCCTTATGCCCATGTTTGTTTTAAGTTTTCTTTTGCAGTTAAATATAGTTAATGGTTATCACTAGTCCTTTTGCTGTTTCCCCAGTCATTTCTTGTTTGCTGAAGCAGTTTCTTTAAGAAAGGTTCATGAGAACAATATTCTTTGTGTTGCTGCATCTTCAGATTGTTGGTCTCTAGCTTTTGTATTGAAAAACATTTTGGCTTTCATTAAGGATGTTAGAAATATTGCTCTGTCAACTTTGGCATTGAATGTCACTCTGTGGAAATCTGAGGCTAGCCTCAGATTTTTTTCCCTCTCATAAATGACTGATCTTTTAACCTGGCTGTTTCTTTATTTTTGGAATCCAGTAACTTTGCTGCATTGGGTCTTAGTGTAGTCATTTTAGACCATTTTTTCCTGGCATATGATGTACTCTTTCAAAATGTAGATTTAAGTCTTTTTATTTCAGGAAAGCTTTCTTGAATTATATCTTTAACTTTTGTTCTCTTCCATTGTTTTAGTTTTCTTATTCAGGGATTCGGTTATACATACACTGGTGTTTTCTCTCTCTGTTTCTCCCTCCCTCTTTCCTTTTCTCCTTCTCTTTCTTTCTTCCCTCCCCCCTCCTCCTCTTTCCCTCTAGCCTCTCTCTTTTTCTCTCTTCTACCCTCGCCTCAAATATTTCATTCACCACTCAATTTCTGCAGGCTGGATCTTACCCATCACCATACTTATTACTATCTAATCAGGAAGATAGAACGACCTCTCACTAAAGGTAACAATAATATCCTAAGTGCTGAATCCAATAAACATTTTTCAGATTTATTCATTCTCAGTGCTGTATTAAACTGTGATTATCACTCCTTCCTTTTTGAAATTCTGTATTTTATAGCTATCTGTGACTGTGTGTCCTTCTAATTTTTAAACCTCTGTGACTGTTCCTGAGTTGGATTTTGTTTCCATCCTCTGTTTTATACATATTCGTCTCACTCGGGATTTAGTCCATTGTCGACTGCTTTTTTATCCCTGTCTATTGTCCCTGGACATTTTATTCATTTATGTTGTTTCCTGTGATAAATACAAAATCTGTAATTCTAACCCTGAAGTTTCGTATTACTATATCCAAATTCCTATTATTCATTATCTAGGTAAAGGTGTTTCTAAATCTACCGTGACCCAAACTGCACTTAGTTTCTTCCTTCTAATACCTCGTCCCATATTTTTTATGTTTGTTTTGTGACATATTCATTCAACCATCACTAGCAACCTAGAAGTTAGGAGTTATAGACTCCTCCCCATGCCTGCCAACTCATGATCAATCTATCACCAAACTCTACAGATTTACTTATAAATACTTCTTAATTCTGCTCACTCTTCTTTATGCCTATATTACTACACTAATTTAGTCACCTGTTTCTTTTTTTGACCACTGTTACAGCCTTCTGTCTTCAGTCTTCGTTTTTCAGATCCTCGCACTGTACAGTTACCACCCTGATCTGTCTATATGTATAAATCTGATGGTTTCACTCTGCATTAATCTGATGGTTTCACTCTCTGTAGACTATCCATAGTACTTAGTACTAGGCCAGCACTTAACTCCTTATTTTATGCCTTTAATCATTTAAAATATACTTTTTAAAAATAATTTCTACCATATTATTCGAGGTTTTGAGGGTCTACTATTACTACTTGTAGTTCTTGCTGACATTGATTCATGGCGCATTATTTCATGAGGTTCTTTCAAATATTATTTCGTTTATTGTTCCTGTGTTCAGGACTGTCTCTGGAGAGTTTTTGTATTTGCTTTTTTCAAGTGCCGCAGGAGTATCCTTTTTCCAGGATCATTTTTTTATGTTAATTTCTTCACTTGATTGTTCCCATATTAAGGAGATAGTGTAAATTCAAATCCGGAATCCATTTGCGGGCAGCATCTTGATTATAGATTCTTGGAGAGTACAGATTTACCAGTTTATCTCCGTTGAGTCAAAGCTTGCACAGTCAGTCTTCCTTGTCATCTTCCTATGCCAATAGGTGGATTTTTTTTTTTCCCCTTATTTTCTTTCACTGAGGATATAGCTTTTCTAGAATTCTGGTTATAGGCAGGTCCTATGCTTCAGTTCCCTATGTTGCAATGGTCTAAGGGCTCAGCTACTTTCTGGCATTAAAATCCAAGCTCTTCTGTGACCAACAAATCTACAGGATAGTCTCAGTGACAACTTGGGGTTTATTGCTTTGGTTTTCAGTCCCCTTTTCACTTTTAGACCCTGGATATTGTCCTTACTTTCTTGGGAGGTTAGCTGTGTATTTTAAAGGATATTTATTAAATTTTCCTCAGCATTTCTAGGTTACTGTATTCTCACTCAAGGGTTGAGAGATTTGATACAGCTCTAATACTTTTCAAATCTGTGATTTTATTTCCTGTTTTTGAAGAATCTAAACAAGATTATAAATCTATTCATGAGGAATATTGATAATTAAAGGAAGCAGGATGGGTCCAGGATAGCCCTGTAATCCTTTCAGATTTTATGTCCTCCTTTAGACAGCTCTGTCAAATAGTAAGGGTTTCTTAGTTTTGACCTTTTTGTCATCCAGGCTTTAGCATGTAGTATTCTCTTTTTCACATAGAACCTTCTCCCTCCTGAGATTTTTTTTCTGCCTAGAACCTAGGTCATCTAGGATATTTTTTTTTTTTTTTTTAAAACCATTTCCCTGTAGCCAGCAAAAAATGAAGAAGTAGTGCTGAAATCTGATGCTTGGTTACTTGACGGTTTCTAATGATAATAAGCTACTGTTTCTATCTCAAACTGTTTGCTTTGAAACAGGCCAAAATCATGGGTTGCCATTCACTTGATATGAATTTATCAAAAATAAAATTCATCGTCCAAAGATGAATTTAAAGCAGTGAAAATATTATGAAACTGAGAAGTTAAATCAACCTTAAAATAGCTGCTTTGGAGGGCCGGCCCAGTGGCGCACTGGATAGTGTGCTAAAAAAAAAAAAAATAGCTGCTTTGGAGAATCGTGACAAAATATGGGTAGCCTTAGTCACCTGAGCTACCAGTAGGACCAACTGTATCCTGTCATCAGTTTGATATATTTTCTTCTGTTTTTTTTTTCTTTGCTAGTTTTCTTTAAAAAGTTGTGAGATGAATACGTTTTTTCATCTAATATTTGTTTTAATGTTATTTTAAACTCCATATAAACTTGTAGTATTTACCTAATATTTTATTTAAATAGCAAAATATGGCTGGCCAGTTAGCTCAGTTGGTTAGAGTGTGGTGCTGATAACACCAAAGTCCAGGTGTTCGATCTCTATGCCATCTGCCAAAAAATAAAAAGCAAAATGTACTTAGCTACTTTTTCATATTGTATATTGAATTTAATTCATATTTCTTTTTTCCTCTTCCCTTCTTCCCCTTCCTTCTCCTTCTGTTATAAAGCTGTGAACACCTTAATGCATCAAAGATTTTTTTTCTTAAATATACTTAGGATAAATTTTCAGATATAAAATTACCAGGTCAAAGTGTTTTCATATTTTTAAGACTTTTGACACAGAGTGCCACATTGCTTACCAAAAGCATGGTACAAATTATATCCTTCCAGCAATCTAACAGCATCTTAAGCAGACCTCTTTCATTATCAGTGGAACATTAGACAGCAGTGTGAAGCTGATGCTTTCTTTATGGTTCCTCCACAGGATATGGTGCCTATCATAGTGGATTACTGCCTTCTGCTGCAGCGAAAGTGAGTGTGCATTGCCTGTGTAATTCAATTATTTTGAACCCAGGTAGCCTCTTGTTTATCTATGAATCACTGCTATGAATTCTGTGAATTTGACTAGATGGGTTTTTAAAAAAATTAATGTACAGAAATTTGATTCTTTAATAGTTTTCAGGCCATTTTCCTAGTACAAATTAACTTTTCCAAAACAGATGCTATGGGTATATGTACACATTCATCTATTCCTAGATGTATGTATTTCTGTGGCAGGATAATGGAGGCAAAGAACATAACCAACAAAAGAGCAATACTACTTATGGATCTTAAAAAAGCAAAAAGTATATGATTTGTGTATGTATATATCCTTTTTTCTTTTACATTTTTGTATATATACCCTTTTATGAACCATTGCTAAAACACAGTATTTCACATCACCCAAATAAGGCTAGATTTATTGTGCTTATACAATATTGTTTTTTTAGAGCCTTTTTATTTAAAAGAAACCAGTGTAAGTAAACTCTTGATTAGAGTTTTGTTGATAACTAAGTTAACCAACCTGTGCTAATTCACAGTTTTTTCACACTTATAATAGCAGCCAGGTATTATTCTAAGCCTTTTGCATTAATTTATTTAATTTTTATAGCAACTTATCTAATTTTTATAACAATGAGGTAGGTACTGTTATTATGTCCATTTTTTATAGGTGATTCCAGAAAGTGATTAAATATCTTGTCAAAACTCACTCCCACAGCTTTAGGGGAGCAAAGGTGGGATTCAAATACAGGAGTCTAGCTCCTGTATTCTTGGTCTTAACCACTCACTTGTACCACTTTCTAAGTGGTAGAGAACAAAAGGGAGAATCAATGCAGATATTTTATACCCTGTACAACCCTCACTTGACTCATGTATTTATATATATTCTGGTAGCCTGATTCATAAAAGATTGGATCTGTTGCTTTGCCCCCCACGGACTTGTCACCCCACTTCCCCTGGGTGATGGAGCCGCAGAGGATTACTCAAAGTCCATCTCTTCTGAGCAGTGAGGAGTCCCAAAGTGGTTAACTTCCCCAGAACCCTCAAGCGAGAGGCAACCCTTCCTTGGGAAATTAACCCTGAATTGGGGTTCTCTTCCTGCATTTATTTTCCAGACCAGGAAGTTACAGGAAGAGAACATAGGTGGAGTTATAGTTTAACAATATAGGCTGGTAACTTTCAGTGAAACAAGTCAGATGACATTCCATTAGAAAATTAAGTGATCCACCAACAAAAGCTTGATCTTAGCAAACATTTCTTCTTAAAGCAATTTCCCAGTATCTTTACATCTCAATCAGTAACTTGTCTGTCTTTGAGCCAGCAACCTTGCTGTGCCACAAATCTTTATCTTACACCAGAGACTTTATAGCCTGAGGAAAATTTCTGGTCTTCCGCAAGGTCAATATTTGAAACTGCAAGGCTTTGGAAAACCAGGCCCTGTGAAGTACATTTGCTTTAAGAATCATCTACATGGATCATACTTTGAAAGTATCAGTGAAGGTTATTCACTGATAAAAGGGCAGTTATTTGTTATGTCAGACCTTTGATTAAGTCACGGATAGCTATAGTTTCTGTTTACTTGGGTTTCAAATTTACTCCAGTATTTTAGTTATTGTGTTGTATGTAATTATCTAGTGAAGTATATTGTGTTCACAGTAACTATGCTGAGAACATTAATTTTAATTACATGTTATCTTCTTTATCAGGGCCGAAGGGAGAAATTTTAGGTGTTAGGGCCAGAAATACTTTTGCGTCTTCTGAACAGCTTGTTTACTTTTAGCTGATGGACAGCGAATTGTGTAGTTGGTCATTGTTTCCTAGAAAGCAAAGTGCTATGGAATATGTACTAACTTCACCCTATCTTAGTTTTCTCTTTACCTCACTTTTTATACTCACTTTCTTATTTATCTTGTTTATTTTTAAAGCAGCCTCAATAGTTTAAGGATCAGCTGCACATATTTTATTTCATTTATCCTTATAATTACAGTGTAGGAGGGGTAATGTCATCTTCATTATCAGATGAGGAAGGTTTGGAGGTGTTTCTAATACCATAAGTACTGGCATCTACTCAAATCTTCAAATTGAGATATTTAAAAATGAGATGAAATGAAGTGCCCAAAAGACTAAATTTTATTTAGAATAAGGAGGCGTATCTTTATAAATGGATCATTTCCACCTAGGATGGTCCTGGTACCTTTCAGAGTAGCTATTTAATACCTGATGGCTGAATTAATGAAATAATTCTGCTTTCTGGTTTGCGGGGTGACTTGTGATACTTTCATAGTGATGTAAAATTGAAACGTCCCTAATAGTTGTAAGATGAAGGATTATATAGGGAAAAAGATTCTGCTTTCTGGTTTGCGGGGTGACTTGTGATACTTTCATAGTGATGTAAAATTGAAACGGCCCTAATAGTTGTAAGATGAAGGATTATATAGGGAAAAAGAAAAAAAAAATGGGTTCTTTCAAAATTATTTTGTGTTATTCCCAAAAATGTCCTGGAGATAAGCTTTTCTTTTTTTATATGATTTGAAAGGGAAATATTCTTCAAATTTATTTAACCTATTGAATGGCTGAGAATGCAATAATTTCTGCATTAATACAACATAGAAGATACAATCTGGTCTAGATTTTCACCACATTAGGATCTATTTATTATTTCATCTGAACTTAATTCTTTCCTTTAATTTTTCCTGACTTCTTAACATTTTTTTCTTCTGGACTATGTGAGAAAGAAATATAATATATGTTGTTGGAGATCTCAGAGAGAAATACCAGAGTCATAGTATATTTCTGACCTCCAGGGGAAGGGGGATCTCAGGGGTCCTTATTCCAGCTCTTCCTGGTCCTTTTCATAGCTCTTCTCTCTCTTTCTCCTCCTACTCTTATGTACACACTTCTAAATCAAGGGCATAGACATTTTCCCTGGAGCACAGTACAAATAATATGGCTTTCTTCTCTCTCAGTTGTTTCCAAAGGCTGAAGCCTAGATTGTACTAAACCCTGCTTCTGCTTGGAGAAGTTCCAGCATGTGTGTTCTGCTCTTTCTTTCCCTCCTGGTCTCTTTCCCTACTTCTATTCTTTAAGTTCTAGTGAGGGCAGAAGGGACAGGGTAGCATTCCCAGCTGTGCAGGAAAATCTGGGGCTGTGAAACTAGGCATCAGGTCAAATATTGCCTCTTTTCTTCTAGATTTTTACTCTTGTGCTTACTTGCTTCTCACCATACTGGCTTTTCTTTTTCATCAGAATATTAATATTCTGTACATGGGCCTGAGCTTTGGAGGAAAGAGATGAATAAGCCATTTGATCAACTTTGATGCTTTGTGTTTAAGCCATATTTCAGTTCCCTTCCATTCCAAACATGCAATGATTAAAGATTTATTAGATATAAAAAATTCTATGTTTAATTAAGTATTTCAGTATAATCACACTTAAATAGTATAGTTTTTATAATTTTTTCTTAGAGTTGTCTTAGATGGTAAAGTTAAAAATTGTCAATTCCCTAGGCTGAATTGAAGCAGAGGATTGTCAGATGTATGTAACTTCATTCCAGTATGGTATGTTTCTCCTTAAACTGGACATACTTTTTATGCTATCTTCTTGATATTTGGTCCCATTTATGTCTAGGGTCTTCTCTACATTTCCACATTTGCAGAGTATCTGTGACATTAATATTGCTTTAAGGAATGCTCAGATTATGCATAACATAAATGCAGTCTTACAAAAACATAATCTAGTACTTAGCCAATTTCAGGTCATTTCTTCAACTTCCAGGGTCATCACACAGACACTTAATCCTGGTCCCCAGATGCCTTTTAAATCAATATCTTCTGATTGAGTATATTGTTTTTATAGTCAGTCCTTTTATTTGCATATATTATACTGTTTCTTATGTGGGCCAAATTGTAAACATAATACATACTCTGAAATGAATTTTAACTCAATAGCACAACCATTATTACACTATAATCACTGTTACCTCTTAGTATCATAACTCATAAAATATGATATGCCTCAGTAATATTAAACTAGCCTTTCTCTGTATTACTATTCATACTTAACAACTTTGATAATGTAAGTTTTTTACTATGGCAGGAACCACAGTTGTTTTTCTTTGTAGGGCATACTGGTTAATATATTGTAGGCATCATTTTTGGTTAAAATTTTGCTTTAGAGTCTTTTTGTATATTACTTGAAATCAGAAATGACAGTAGTTCTGTTTTTGAAGACTTATACTTTAAATTCATAATTTGGTCTCTTTCACAATTAAATTTCAATATATTTTTCAGTATTAGACAAAACATATAAAATGTCTCAAGGCTTTATGTAGGATATTTAATGATTTGTCATTTTGCCTATACAAAATATAGGCTGTATATTAGCATGTGTATGTGTTTTGTGTGTGTATGCACACACACATACACACACACACCACACACACACACACACACACACACACACACCACACAAACGGCTTTGTAGTAGCCATGTCAGTTTTATTTTGAAAATAGGTCCAGATTTTACGTGAACCATAATTATAATTTTGAACATTGTTCAAAAATAGGTGCTATATTATTATTTATGAATTATCTCTCAATAAAGCAGTTATAAAAAGAAAACAAAATAGATGCTCTATGTAGATGATACTGACCACTTTGAGTTTGTGTCCCTGTAAGCAATATCCAAAACTGTTATGACACCGTCATTCAAACGACTTGAGTTGTATATGAATCTGAACCAAAAAGATTTCTGTGAAATTCCAAGTGAGCCTGAGATGGTCTTTTGCTACTGGGCTATTTGTTTCTTCAAGTTGTTCAACATCATGATTGTTGTTTCAGAAACAGAAAGATCCTAATTATCAGATAGCATGGTTAAGAAACTGGATGGTTTGGGGCCGGCCCGGTGGCACACTGGATAGAGCGCCGCTTGGGAAGTGCGGCGGCGCTCCCGTCCGAGGGTTCGGATCCCACATACAGACCGGCTCCCCCTCACCGGCTGCGCGCGGCGCGGGGGCA